GGGAGGCAGAGGCAGGCGGATCTCTGTGAGTTCGAGGCCAGCCTGGGCTACAGAGTGAGTTCCAGGAAAGGCGCAAAACTACACAGGGAAACCCTGTCTCGAAAAACAAAAACAAAGAAGAAAAGGGAAAAGAAAATTGGGGGGGGAGGGGAGGGTTCTTTTTTATTTTTTCAAGACAGGGTTTCTCTGTGTAGCTCTGGCTGTCCTGGAACTCACTCTGTAGACCAGGCTGGCCTTGAACTCACAGAGATCTGCCTGCCTCTGCCTCCCAAGTGCTGGGATTAAGAGTATTCTATGATGCCTGACTCTTTCTTCTCTGGTTTTTTTTTTTGGTGCTAAGGTTTGAACCCAGGGCCATGCCTGTACTGGGTACAGGCTCTGCCACCACGGTCCATTCCCAGCCCTGTGGGCTCCCTTTCCAAAGGAGTTCTGTATATTTGTAACTAGCAGGGAATAAGGACCTAAACTATTTTGTAATTCCCCAAACTGCCGCCAAACCACACCAAGCTCGTAAGCTGAGGAGAGCCTGCACACTGAACCCGGGCAGAGGTCTCTGAGGCCGCTGCAGCACTGAAGCAGCCCGTCCCACCATCCCCACCACTCCCTGGCGGAGCCGGGCTGCTGAGAGGGAAGGCAGGACAGGAAACATCTACAGAGCTCACTTGACTCGCTGGTGAAGAAGATAGAGAACATTCCGAAGACTCCCCAGTGTTCTGTTTTCTGGGTTTAGTCTATGACGTCCAAACTGGGAAGGAAGGAAGGAAGGAAGGAAGGAAAAAAAAAGAGACAATTACTATTTATCACTGTTTTCTTTATCTTAAATTTCATTTTTTAAAAAAGATTTATTTTTATTTTAATCATGTGTATATGTGTGTGTGTGTGAGTGTATGAGTCTGTGCACATTTGAATGTTGGTGCCCGCAAAGTCCAGAAGAGGGCTTTGGGTCCCCAGGAGCCGGAGTCCCAGGAGGCTGTGAGCCTCTTAATTTCTACTCAGTAAACTTCTTTAGAGTAACTCTCATAGCACAGCGTTTGATTATAAAAACATCCAATTAGCACCACAGATTTTATTATTCCTCTTTTTTTCTTTTTTCTTTTTGTTTTTCGAGACAGGATTTCTCTGTGTAGTTTTGGTGCTTGTCCTGGATCTCGCTCTGTAGACCAGGCTGGCCTCGAACTCACAGAGATCCACCTGCCTCAAACTCGCGAGTGCTGGGATTAAAGGCGTGCACCACTGCCGCCCAACAATCCTCTTTTTCAACTAAATAAATGAAAATAAAAATATTTTCCAATAAAGGAAGCGGTATTTTTTTTTTTTTTTGTTATTGTTCTGGGAGTTTGAACCAAGGGCCTTCACTATGCTAAAACAAATACTCTTATCACTAACTTACATCCTCAGCATCAGTAACTTTCACTTTTAAGAGAATGATGGGAAAATTCTTATCAGCAAAGACAATAACAAGACAGAAGTACATGCCTAGGATAATACACAGACATGTTGGGAGGTGGAAGCTTTCAGTTATTTAAGGTCCTTTTATTAAGAGCCAATAAAAATAACACATAAAAATGGCACATTAGCAAAGACACTCTGCATAGCAGTGTTTTCAACTGAAATACTACTGTGGTGGTTTCAAAGGATATGGCCCCAAAAGAAAGTGGCACTATTAGGAGGTGTGGTCTTGTTGGAGGAAGTGCGTCACCGTGGAGGCGGGCTTTGAGGTCTCATGTATGCTCAAGCCAGGCCCGATGAGACAGACCATTTCCTGTTGCCTGAAAGATGTAGAACTCTCAGCTACTTCTCCAGCACCATGTGTTACTATTCTGACCCGCCCTCTGAAATCCTGCCCTTTGGCGCCACCCTGTGTCCCAAGGTAAAAGCCTCATTTTAAGGAAAAACCCCTCCCCCTTCCTCTCTCTTTCGCTTTTCCTCCCACGAGGTATGTACTGCTCAGTCCCCCCTCCCTTCCTCCCTCTCTCCCTCCCCTCTCTCTGTGCCTCTCTCTCTCCTCTCCCTCTTTCCTATCTTCTCTTCGTCTATTATAATAAACCATTTCCACGTGGATGCAGCATCTGGGTTGTGAATATCCACCTACCATCGCAACAGCCATGTCTGGCCTGCCACTGCATCTGCCCAGCATGCCAGCATGTTTCCCTGCACACTCGGGATACCCTGGCCAGCCGGGGTTCCCCTGAGCGATATATATCATAACACCATGATGTCTCATCATAATAATGGACTAAACCTCTGAACTGTAAGTGAACCACCCCAATTAAATTTTTTCCTTTATAAGAGTTGCCATGGTCATGGTGTCTCTTCACAGCAATAGAAAACCTAACTGAGACAACTATCCTCATTTTTTCTAGAGATAAATCCTTTAAAATGTTCTTTGTACAACAGATTTTCAACAATATCTTTTTGTGGCGCTGGGGATTGAACCCAGGACCTTGCATATGCTAAGTAAGTCCTGGTAGAGTGGTATTCTGAGCAACACACCAAGCCCCCACACAGATCTTGAATGTGTCCACATCCTATCTCCACTGCTGCTAACCTAGTCTAGGCTATCAAACCCTCACCTGGATTACTAACATGGTCTCATACCGGACTGGCCCCTTTCTCTTTAGCTTGGGGCAGCGGGTGGGGGTGGGGTGAGGAAGATGCATCTGTGTGCACATGGAGGTCAAACAGGACCTCTGTTGTCTTCTTCTCTGGATCCCTGCCTTACTGCCACAAGATGGGTTCTCACTGGACCAGATCTGCCTTTCTCCAGCCCCTATCACCAAGCCCATGCTGGGGTACAGGCATGGGAAACCATGCCTGACTCTTTCAGTGGGTGCTGGAGATTTGGACTCAGGTCTATAGGCTTGTAGAGCAAAAACTCTTCCCCACACCCTCCCTCTCAGCTTCTGACTGATCTGCTGCAGAAGAGCACAGGCCTTCCAGCACAGACCTTCCAAGATCCTACCTCAGATCACACTACTTCCCAACTCCAAGTCCACAGGCTTCCTGCTGGGCTGAGAACAAAATCTTCCGCCTACTTTCCTCTCCTACAGCTTTCCTGTAATTCTCCCAGCCACAGAAGCCTCCTTTCAGTTCCTAAGATGAAGCAAGCTCTTGACATGACACTCTCCCTCTTCTGGGATGCGCGTCCTCCTTCTTTGTATGATACGAACTTCATATGCCCTTGTACCTTGATTTCCATGTGCCTCCTCAGAAAGGCAGGCATCTGGCCAAACGCCAAGAAGAACCCACTGCTCCTCTTCAGTAAGCCAGTGCTGTTCATGTCCTTAACAGCTGACTCAGCTCATAATAATTACTCGGTTCTTTTACTTGCTGTTTTGTTTTTTTTACTTCTTTTACTTACCCATGAGGACAGGGGCTACACTGTACCTCCAACTTCTCACAGAGTGTCTAAAAATGTCTGAATGTATAAACAATCAAATGTATGAAAAAAACTGAAATCTGAAAGTGATTTGGAAAAGTTAAATCATGAATTACTTGTGAGCGAACTAAAGACTTTAACCTCTGGTTTTGCCAAGGGTCATCTGCTCCATGGCACATGGCAAGCAATGTGAATGGGAAGGAAGCTGTCCTGAGGTCCTTGAGAAATCTTTTCACACATATGGTTTTCCTGAGACAACACATTACTAAGAAAGTCCAATGTAAACTTCATTCCTTGTCATACAGAAAGCCAGCCAAAAGCCTGATTAGCAGAGTATTGCACACAGGGGAAAATGGGCGCGGACACTCAGGCACACCACCTGCATTACTGCATTTAAGATTTGGGGATGTGTTTTAGATGTCCCTGGACTCACTTACCCTCAGAATCGACTGTACCGTCTGCATGGGATAGGTGACTGTGGTGGCGATCGCTTTGGCTATTGCACCAATGATGAACACATCCAGAGAAGAGAGCTGGGAAGCAGAGGAGGAATCGTTTCGATCAGACAAGGAAACGGGCACCTCTTTCAGTCACTTTTAGAATTAGGAAGTACCTTCATCCGCTTCTTTAAAAGCTGCCGTTTCAAGCCTTCGTAGAACATGAACTGGATGGCGGGGTTGAAGACCAACAGCAAGGAGGGAAAGGTGCCATTCCACAGAGCCAAAACCCCTTCATCTCGAATAATCTGGTGGAATGCATCTAGGCAAGAAGGCAGGCTTTTGTAAAGCACCGTGACAGTGCCCTAACTAGAACAGACCACTGTTCTGACCAAAAGGACCCAGATATAAACCACCCTCTCTTCGGTGAAATTTTGGAGGCAGATTCCCTGCTTGGGTACCTTTCTGTTCGTCCGTCCGTTCATTTGTTTTTAAAGATGTCCTTGTTGTGTAACCCAGTATGCCCTTGAACATTATTATATCTTCCCTCCTCAGACAACAGGTGTGGACTGCTATGCACTGGAGTTAACTACCTGTTTTGTTTTGTTTTTTAAAACAGGATTTCTCCTTGTAGCTTTGGCTAGCCTAGATTGCTCTGTAGACCAGGCTGGCCTCAAATTCACAGAGATCCGCCTGCCTCTGCCTCCCGAGTGCTGGGATTAAAGGCGTGTACCACTCCCCCACCACCACTGCCCCCCCACAACTTCCTTTTGATAATCATCATTCTGATGCCAGCCTCTATCACCTGTGACTTCTCCTGACAATCCGGTTTAAAATGCCGCACTGTCAGCACATCTGGCAACTGTGTGTTACACAGAACTAAACTGTAAACCACATCTTTCACGAGGCCTAGCATAACACAAGATAATATTTTTTCTTGGAATCTATGATGAAGAACTTATAAGAAAGCCACTTCCGTTACAAAGAGAAATGCAAGCCTGGCCATGTGGTTCTAAGTAGAGGCTAGGCAGTATGTGGTGGCACACTCTGGCAATCCCAGCACTCCAGAGGCTAAGACGGCAGGATAAAGACTTCAAAGCCAGTTGTACAATGAGATCTTGTCTTTTTTGTTTTTTGTTTTTTTTGGAGCAGAGGGCCGAACCCAGGGCCTTGTGCTTGCTAGGCAAGCACTGTACCATTGAGCTAAATCCCTAACCCCTGAGATCTTGTCTTAAAAAAGCAGAAGTTTAAAGCCATCAGATACTATCCTTGTAACTTTATCCAAAGACATCGTTACGGATAAAAAGGTGTAATACTCTTTAAAATATTAACTTGGCTGGCTGTGCTGTAGACTCCTCTAACAGCAGCACAGGGGAGGCTAAGACGCAGTAGGATCTCAAGTTGGAGGCCGGCCTAGGTTACAGAGTGAGATCGTCTCAAAAACTGTAACAAGCTGGGTGGGGTAGGTCACACCTGTGATCTCAGTACTTGGGAGGACTGCTATGAATTCGAGGCCAGACTAGGCTATACGGTGAGTTCAAGGCCAACCTTGGAAATGGCAAAATTCTGTCTAAAAAAAAACCCAAAAAACAAAAACAAAAACCCTTGAGCTGGGGATGTAACTCAGTATATAGTGCTTGCCTAGGTATACAAAGCCCTGGGTTCTGTCTCAGGCATGGCATTGTGATGTACTCCTGTAATCCCAGCATTGAGAAGTGGAGGCAGGGAGATCAGAAGTTCAAGATCATCCTCAGCTATGAGTTTGAGGCTGGCCTAGGCTATAAGAGACTGTCTTTAAAAAAAGGGCTGGGTGGTGGTGGCACAAGCCTTTCATCTCATCACTAGGGAGGCAGAGGCAAACAGATCTCTGTGAGTTCTAGGCCAGCCTGGTCTACAGAGCAAGTTCCAGGACAAATGAGGGCTACACAGAGAAACCCTGTCTCAAAAACTAAAAACGAAACAAAACAAAAACAAAACAACAATGACAACAACATTAGTTTAGGGGTGTAGCTCAGGAGTAGACTGCTTGCCCAGCACACTTGGGGCCCTGGCTTTAATACCTAGGACTGCAAAAAGTCAAATTAAAACTCACATACTCACAGTCTCTCCCTCTCTTCCCCATCTACTCCTTGTCCTAGGCTTGTTATCAGGTAATATACAAACAGGGCAAAGGGAATTCATCCTCTGGTGTTGTGCCACTGTTATGAGAAGAGTATGTTCAGGGCTGAGGAGACTCAGCTCTGGTCAGCCCAGTAGAGTTCCTATCAACCACAGATACATAAATAACGTTTGCTGGGATCTGAGGCTGTCTGCTAGGCAGCTTTACTATGGAAACGGATTTCAAACACAAAGGACACATCCCAGGGACACTTACCTATAATGCCTTTGTAGTTAGTTGGTATAATGTCTTCATTCCGAAATTTTGCCCCTTGCAGCTTCAGTCTGGTGTTTACCACCCAGAGTGGAGTCGTTAGCAACACATTCACCACTCCTTAAAGACAGAGAAAGACACCTGCTAGCACAATGTACCTACTAATCTTTGCTGTATTAGGTTATACACAACACTCCATTTATATGGAGTAAGGTTTATCTTCGTGCTGGGGTACAGCACATGCTACTGCCATTAGAAGCAATTTAGAAGCAAGGCTGATAGCAGCACTTCCTCACACAAAAAGAGTGGAGAATTTCTTTACCCACTCAGTGAGGGCAATCATTTGTTGATTAAAAAAAAAAAAAAGCATTCAAAATGGCGATTTGGGGGTTGGGATTTAACTCCGGGGTAGAGCAGCAGTCGAATACATGCAAGGCCTAGTTCAATCACCAGCAATGCCACAGAAACAAAAGACAAGGTTACCCCAAAAACAAGGTAGCAGTTTGATACAGTTTTAAACATAATTGTTAAATAAGAGCTTCTGTAGCCGGGCGGTGGTGGCGCACGCCTTTAATCCCAGCACTCGGGAGGCAGAGCCAGGCGGATCTCTGTGAGTTCGAGGCCAGCCTGGGCTACCAAGTGAGCTCCAGGAAAGGCGCAAAGCTACACAGAGAAACCCTGTCTCGAAAAACAAAAAACAAAAAACAAAAAACAAAACAAAACAAAAAAAAAAAAGAGCTTCTGAGAGGGGGGATTATTTTACTGACACCCTGCTAAACCCATGTCAACATCAGAGAAAACAAGTACCAACTCTCATATAAAGTAGCTCACACGGTTTTAAACAAGCATGATCTGGTACTAAGGGTGACAGGTGGGAGGATGGGGTGACATTTCCAAGAGCTTCAACTGAGACCAAATGCTCATCACTCAGAGGATTAGGACAGGCAGCAGCAGGCAGCAGTTACAAAGTGTTACAAAATACTGGGGAGAGCTCTAGGAGCACTGTGACCCTTACAAGCACAAAGATGGACCTTTGGCCCCCAAGGCTGCCTCAGATCAGCACAGTGAGCCAGATGCTTCTTTGTAAACACATGGTCCCAGTTGAACAGCATCTTGAGATAGTAAAACTTCCTCATGGTCCTGAAATGATTAAAGAAAATCGCATACAGGATTGTAACAAAGCTCCTGACAAGTGGTGTACACTTTGTCACTAAAGGTCAACCAACGACCAAGCAGTGGGTATGTAAATGGAGCTGTATGGCTGAATCCTGAACAAAGAGGAACAATCCTAAAGAAGAAAAAGGTGGTCATTGTGTGTCATGCCCCCCCCCCAAACAGAGGGGAAAAATGTTTTCATTTAAGGAATCTCAAAACACCCTATGGAGAAAACAGTTTAATCAAGGATAAACTTGGTGAAGTAGCCAAGAGACTGAAACCTATCCTTTCATTTGTTGCGTACAGTTACCAAAGAAATTTTTCTGCTTATTTTCCAGATGTACCAACATATTTCCCCCAAATAAAAAATAGCATCAAGTAATCTTATGAAGTGCATTTCTATAGCTTCTGACTCTATTCATACATTGTCTTGAGGCTTTGATTATGATCTGAAAAAGCTGTGCCTGCCACAGAAGACCCTTACTAGACTCTTTCAAAAAAGGCATCAGTGCCCCACAGCCCAAGACACAAGCTCATCTGCCCAGAGTTCAGAATGGACACCTACTTGATGATGTACACTTCACTTCACAAAGACAAACCAGTAATTGGAGAAATCAGGCCAGCAAGTGCTAGTAACAGTCAGCAGCTTTTGTTTCTCTCTCCCTCTCCCTCTCTCTCAAAGAGAAAGAAAAGACAGGAGAGCTTAGAAACCACGAATACCATAGAAAAGCAGTGTATGCACCTTCCCAAACAAATGAAATGCATTGCCCATTAAAGAGATCCTTTAGAAATCAACATCCTTCAGGCTCTATTCAAGAAGGAGGCATACATGAAACACTGGAGGGCAATGCAGCCAAGACTATGATTCAGCCATTATTTCAAGCCCTGTTTCCACGTGCCCATTACTAATACAGCAGAAAGACTAAAAGGGTCTGAGGACAGCCTTAAGTACCAAGTACACCACAATATTTAAATGAAGGGATCGAAAGACATTCCAAAGCTTCGAATCTGAGATGGTCAAGTACTTCCTTCATTCTCTAATTCAGAATGGATGGGGAAGTGCCTTTTTACACAATAATTTTATGAATTCTAGGGAGGAATATGCTCAAAATACTTGACAATGCTTTTTAAAAACTTCATCAAAATTTGCAACTTACATAATCAAGCAAATGGCAGCATTCCAGAACTACTCATGACTAACTCCAGTCACTAATAACACACCACAGGCAGCCCCTCAAGGGAGCTGGGGCAGCACTGTTGTTAGTTCCAATCTGTGGGTGTTACTTCAGCTGAGTACTAATTAATACTCTTCTTACCTAAGGTTATTTTTCTTTGGAGTATCTATGAATCTATGAATTTACTTTTTCTTTTCTTTTTCCTTTTCAATAACAAATCCTTTAGAAGAAAGCAAAACCAAAATTAAGATCTGTGAAATACTAACCAACCCCCCTCCCCAACCACTCTCCCACCCTGGTAAAGCAGCCAGGGAACACTACCCTAAACCCAGCAGCCATTGTGCTCATTTTGAAAGGTAGGCCTTGGAGGCTGGAAGGGGTTCTACTCTGATGTCCACTTATTTTTCTAAAGACTATCCTTGAGTGTCACAGGAGAGAAAACTGGGTCCTGTTACCACACCTGGATAGACTGTCACAGACTGCTGTCTGTCTCCCCCAGCCAATGCACTTTCAGAGAGAATCATACAAACCACTCTGGTCTCTAGACCCACTCATTCTAATAGCCATTTACTGTTAGCACTCAAAAATGACCCCTCTCTCTCTGACAAAGAAGGGTGCCTAGTTTATCATGTAGCCACTGACCTGAGGCTGCAGCCTGTGCAATTTAAATACACTTGCTCTACTGTACATCACACTGCATTCCTCCCTGGAGAGGCGGTGGGGATTTGTGACTCTCATCTGTGGACTGGCTGGTTTTGTGTGTCAACTGGACACAAGCTAGAGTCATCAGAGAGGAAGGACTCTCAGGTGATGAAATGTCTTCATGAGGTCCAGCTGTAAGGCATTTTCTCAATTACTGATCAATGGGAAAGTGTCCAGCCCTGGGTGGTGCCATCCCTGGGCTGGTGGTCCTGGGTTCTATAAGAAAGCAGGCTGAGCAAGCCATGAGGAACAAGCCAGTAAGCAGCTCCCCTCCATGGCCTCTGCTTCAGTTCCTGCCTCCAGGTTCCCACCCTTATTTGAGTTCCCGTCCTACCTTCCTTCAATATGAACAACAATATGGAAGTGTAAGAGAAATAAATCCTTTCTTCCCAACTTGCTTTTTTTTTTTTTTTTTTTTTTTTTTTTTTTTTTTTTCGAGACAGGGTTTCTCTGTGTAGCTTTGCGCCTTTCCTGGGACTCACTTGGTAGCCCAGCGGCGGATCTCTGTGAGTTCGAGGCCAGCCTGGGCTACCAAGTGAGTCCCAGGAAAGGCGCAAAGCTACACAGAGAAACCCTGTCTCGAAAAAACTAAAAAAAAATAAATAAATAAATAAAGGCGTGTGCCACCACCGCCCGGCTTCCAACTTGCTTTTTGATCATGGTGTTTCATCACAACAATAGAAACCCTGAGACAATCTGCCATTTTGTTTTATTTCATTCTATCTTCTTTTGGGTAGGGATTGCTTTCTGAGACAAGACCTCACTTGTGTATCTTCTCCCTTGTTAACTTGCCCACTGTCAGCTAAATTCAGAAACCTTTCCAGGATAAAGAAGCAGATGTTGTTCATCCTCACACCAGGAATAACGAGACATTGCTGTTTACTTCTGAAATCTTCAAGATAAACGGCATTGTTAAGGAGGGAAGATGAAACTGTGTCTCAGACACACACCTGGTACAAGACATTTTCTGATACAAGACAATGTCCAGGGCTGGGGAGGTGGAGTTCAGATCCTCCGTTCCCCAGTAAAAAGCTGGGAAAGGATGGCTGTATGTGCCTGTAACCCTAGTGCTATGTGGGGGTGGAGGGTGGGGGATGGCTAGCCTACCCAGAAATGGGTGGGTTCCAGTGAAAGACCCCGCCTCAAGGGAAAAAGGCAGAGAGCTATAGAGGACAATATCCAATATCCTCCAGTCTCCACACATATGAACATAGGTAACATGCATGCACATGTACATACATGCACATACACACTTAAGTAAATAAATTTTAAAAAGAGAAAGAAAATGGCAAATCAAGTGTGGAAGGCTAAAGCAGGAAGGTCATGAATTCAAAGCCAGCAGAGTCTATATAGTGAAAGCGTGTCTCAAAAAGCAATCCTCACCACCAAAAAAGATAGAATGAAATACAACAAATGGCAGATGAAAGCCACAAGTCTAAGCCACCGTCTCCCTAGAGAGGCAAGCAACATGATGTACAACAAGAATAAACCTGACTGGCCAGATTAAGGTGGAGGCAGGAAGTACATTCTCAATTCTGAAAACTGGCAACTGGCATTCAAAAGTGCTGCTGTGCAAAAATCACAATTTCACAAATGTGGCAAACAGTCTTTATTTAAGCTGTCTGTAAGATACTATTTCCAAATTCTTCTACATGTGTTTATGGGATTTTTCTGTGGAAATATAATAAATAATAATCTAAGTTTCAAGTAGAATCTGAATAACAAAGCTAGCAGTTCTCAACCTGTGGGTCATGACTCCTTTGGGGGTTGAATGACCTTTTCACAGGACTCACATATCAGATATTCTGCATATCAGATATTTACATTACAATTCGTAACAGTAGCAACTGTATGAAGTAGCAACAATTTTTTTTTTCTTCGAGACAGGGTTTCTCTGTGTAGCTTTGCACCTTTCCTGGAACTCTCTTTGTAGACCAGGCTGGCCTCAAACTCACAGAGATCCACCTGCCCGGCAACAAAAATAATTTTTGTTTGTCTGTTTTTTGAGGCAAGGTTTCTCTGTGTAGCTCTGGCTGTCCTGGAACTTGCTCTATAGACTAGGCTGGCCCCGAACTCACAGAACTGCCT